ACAAATAGATCAAAAAGGACAAGTAACTTCAATACTCACACGGCCGAAGCGCAACGTTCGCTGATCGAGCATCCTTAAATATGCCTGAAAGGATAGTCCAGGTGCAGCCATTTTCATTTCTTCAAATGAGAAGAAAACATCTGTGGCATAAATGGTGGCGAAGTGAAGGGTAGCTGGCCAGTAGTCACTCCGAAGAAGGTCGTCAACCCCAGTCGTCCATGTCGCAGCGCATGCTTCAGAAGCCAACTCTGGCATGCTTAGCTCATGTCGTCCTTGAAAAACAGACAAGGTGTTTTTAATACATTTGGTATTCTTTACTCAATAGAGTGGCGAAGTCCCTCCCCTTCCGGTTGAGCCCCATGGGACCTTATTTCGGAAAAGTTATGCATTGAAGTCAATGGAGAGAGAAAGATTATCTTTCGATCCCGTTTGAATTGTGCCACGAATTACACATATGATGTTTGTCAATTTAAAAGATAATTTTGCAAGTCAAAAAAATTTAAATGTGTCGTAAAACTGTGAAGTAACACATTTGTTTGTGTGAAACGCTCAATGAACTACATCTCTGGTCAACCACACACGTCACCAAGATGGCCGTCACTACTGTCTTGTCAACAAACGATTGACTATCACCACAATGAAACACGTCCTGAAGAATGTCATGCAAAGCCTGCCTTCCTTTGATTCTCTCTGAACTGCCTGGTCGTTTTAATGTTTAATGTCAACCATTTGTGCAGATAGCATGAAGTAGAAAAGATCGCCGATGCTAACGTTAGCGTTAGCATTTCTCCCCCGGAATTAAATGGTGTATTATAGAATGATCACACCGGTGACAGTACTATTCAAAGGGTTCACGAAATATGACTACTACTCTTACTGTTTAACATTTTGGGTTACTTAATGTTACTTCATGTTAAGGCTAATAAAAATGACAAGGCTGTAATGCTAACTAACGTGCTAGCTACTAGCTAGGTAGCTAACTTGATCAAGCCACTCCTGGTCGTTTCATCAGACGGGAAGCAAAAGAACGAGCAAGACCCATTGCTGGTATAATAACAACCTGGTACTAAGCACACAGGCATCTTGTTAAAGTTATCTTATCTTAGCCAGCGCCATATAGATAGATTCTATCTATATGGCGCTGATCTTAGATCTTAGTGGAGGAAAACAATTGTGACATCACTTACGCGACTCTGGGATTTGTAGTCTTTCTAGTTACGTATTTTTCATAGTCTTATATTTCAACAGTTTTACGACAAACTGTGACTTTTTTGACATGGAAATGATTTTTTAAGATTGACAAACATCATATGTGTAATTCATGGCACAATTCAAACGGGATCGAAAGATAAGTTTTCTCTCCCCATTGACTTCAATGCATAACTTTTCCGGAATAAGGTCCCATACCCCGGAAGTAAGTGGGAGGGACTTCGCCACTCTATACCCATGTTAAGGTTTAATAGACAAGCTATCCCACATGTCTTTGAGAAGGGTTGGATATTATCAAGAAGAAACTTCAATAACATTTATCTTAAGAAACAAGACAAACATTCTTCCCATTCTTACCATTCATTGTGATCACAGTCACAGTCTTTCCTGGCTTGAGGCTCAATGACTCTGATGCACAACCACAGATTTTGTCCGGGATCTCCACAGGTACAAACCGCACTGGAAAAAAATTCAAATGGGAATTAAAAATAATTTGTCTCTTTTGAAAAATACTACATTGTTATGTGACATATTTAGGATTTAACTTTACATCAGAACATTAAAAAGAGACTTAAGCACACTGCTGGGAATTAACACAGAGATGTTGAGGAAGCTCACATTTTCAAAATGAAATTCTCAACAAGTCCAGCAAGAAAATGTACATTCACAAACCAGAACTTACCACAGGAGCAAAGGGCCATATTTAGTACATGTGTTGTTGGGGCCAATGGCTGGAAGTAACCTGCAGTAGTAGCATCTCTGTTGTGGAGGGGGTGTCTGGTGTGCATGCTGACATCACAGTCAGCACAGAAGAAGGGATGTGGTCGGCAATCCCGGCACCGGACAACAGACGTTTTGCTCCAACACTGTTGGCAAATGTGTGTTCCCACATTTGCTTGGGCCACTACGGTGTTAACCAGATGTGGTCTCGCTGCCCTCCAGCTCTCTGAAAAAAAACTTTTTCGAGTGCTCCAGTTGGTCGATGCCAGCAGAGAAGCACTTGGGGTTTGTGCTACCACCTCATCTCCTGTAGTATCGCTCAGAGACTGCTGGAGATCTCGTAGAAACCCCTCTGTTAAAATGGTACAATAAAGTCCAAAGCACAATGATTAGTTTTCTTTAAAACATACTGGATGGAGTGGTTTTGAAAGCTGTAACTACTGTGTTCTTAATTCTAGCAAATTATGAAGTTTAGAAATGAAGTACGTATCACATAAAGATACAAGTATGAATATGTGTTTCGGGCTAACCAGACCAAATGAAGTACATACCAACAGTCTCTGGAGCGATAGCTGGAGCAAAGACCAGATCACAGTCAGGGTCAGGAGCATCAACGGGGGGATCAGTATTACGACTGCAGCCAGCTGTATCAGAAAAAACATTTATTTTATACCATTAAATTGTACTACTTTTCCCTTACCAAGAGTTATGTTTTCATTCATTTCATATACTCAAGTGCCTAGAAATATATATCTTATACTGACCCTGATTTGAGACATTCCGGGTTGAACGTGGTCTTGCAAAGATCAAGTTTCCCTCACTGTCTCTCTTCTTCCAGCACATCATTGACACTGCTGGCACTGCTGCTGCTGCTGCTGCTGCTACTGCTACTGCTGCTGTTGTTGCTGCTTCCACTTTACAAAGCAAATCATCAGCACTCCTTTGGTCATCCCTTAACTCTTTCTGCTCAACCAGCTCATCTGCGCTTCTCAGAAGATCCTCAAGATCAGAATCACTCATTATAGTGAAGAGACACAGACAGAGACACAGAAGAAAGACTGACAACAGAGTTAGACAGAGAAATAAATAGAGAGATAGGAAGAGACTATCAAGTACAACACAGCAAGGACAGTTTAACAAGACAGACTTGGCTCTTAAAAGTGCCTTTGGGTTGTTTGGAGTTTGGAAAAACAAAGGGTTGTTTTTTGGAGAACAAATTGCAGGATCTGTTGAGAGAAAACAACATAATTTAGAAACTCAAAAATAAAATAACAATGCCAGTGTAATTGTTGTTGTTTGCAATTTTCTACTTGGCTAATAACCAATTAATGCTTACTACTGTTGTCATTAAAGGTATTTTCACACCATCGCACAGCAAAATCACTGCCACCAGTCATTTAAATAAGTAATTTGTACAAAAATTATAAAAGTATTATTACTATTAATCAGTGGCGGCCGGTCCATAGGGGCGCTAGGGGCGCCGCCCCACCTCTAACCATATTAAAAAATAAAAATAAAAATAAAAAATATATTTTAAAAAATATTTTTTTTTTATTTTTTTTTTTTAATGAACAAGGTAAATATTATATAATTGGTATCAGTAAAATGTATAATCTACAATAAAATCTCGTTTAAAATTGTGTTACGATGTCTAAAGTTACTGATAAGTCACATGTTTCCTGCCTGGCCTTGCCCGTGTACCTTCTCTCGTCTGGGCGCTAAGAGAGGAGCCCTCAACCAGTGCAGCAGCAGCCACTAGCAGCTGACTGTTGCTATCTGTAACGTGTAAACTATGCCGCGAAAACATAATTTCAGCCAATCAGCGTCGTCAAATATGATGGTCACAGGGCTCCTACGTGAGCGCCCGGTGCAGTCTGTGAGTTGTTTGGACTCGTATCCAAGGAGACAAAACAGGAAGCTGTCATACACTCTGGAAGCTACAGCTAATGAAAACTCCGTTTTTGACATAAAAATGGAATTATGGATCATCAATCATTTTTCAAAGTGACAGACACATTGGATTAACCTATGGATTAACCTTCAGCTGCGTTTTTCTCGTTTTTGATCAGAATTGTTATTCTGCAAAAGGTGAGCATATCTCCATGTTTTGCTACCTAAAGCTACGTCGTGTGATGTCTGTATTTGCTTCTCCTGTCGCGAGTTCTGATCCCTCAGTGATGATACTTATATTTCTAGAATATGTGGAATCTCAGCTTGTAAGCTTGTTTGTGCATATCCGATAAGTATATCGATTGATTTATACCTAGAGTGCGTTAGCATTTTTTCGCTCAGGGCTCATTTAGACGCTTCTTGTGAGACTTGTGTTTTGTTTCGGTAAACATGGTTCATAACATCAGTTAGATGCGTTTCCTCTGAGTAGGACACATGAATAGTTTATTACATTTTAAGAAGCCCTGAGACCAGTGGCGTCGCCTGGCCTGGGCATCCGGGGCTTTAGCCCCGAATGTTTTTTCTGTAGCCCCGGACAATTCTCCCTCAATAATATAATACATTAACCGTGCTTTACGTGAACCTCATCATGACACAAGAGAGGACGGCAGCACTGTAATTTCCCGTGTTCAGTGAATGCAACAGAGGCATGACACCAGACCAATCAGAGAGTTGCATGGAAATAAACGTGTGCTTGTGTCATTCAAGCTCGGCTCTGTGTGTGTGTGTGGCAATAGCGCATTTAGTGTGATAGAGAGAGAGGGAGAGAGGGGGAGGGAGGGGCCGGTGCCAGCAGGGACCGTGTTGTTAGCATCTGGTTAGCTAGCTGCACTAACGGACATATGGAGCTGTTTGTTCCACAAGAAGCTGGAGGAGAGTCCTCTCCTCTCAGACTGAGAGACTCAGGTGAGCTAAAGGACTCTCTGAGTGTTTGGATACATAACTTTAGTCTAAGTTATCTCAGTGGGTCTCAAACGGTTTGGTCACAAATTATTCAAAAGATTATTTCCGCGGCACACCTTCATATGATCATTATAGTTATAAAAAAAATAAGAGAATAAAAGAAAAACAGTTATGAAATACTATATGGCAGTAAAACAAGAATAGAGTTTAAAAGGGGAGTGATTAGTAAAATATCCATAAAGAAAAAGTACATCTGTTTACAGTTCTGCTTCATATGGGTGTTGAGAGAGGTATCCATAGATCACTTCATTTTGCTCTCAAAGTGCACCAGATTGATGCTTTTAACTTCAATATTTAAAAAAAAATCTTCCCGGGGGAGCATCCCCCCGGACCCCCCTAGAGGAGGTGAGGTCCCCACTCATAAAAAATACCACTTTACCCCTGCCTATATGGTGAGCTGATTATCGAGCATTCATTGTAACAGTCGCGGGTGTACTGTGTGTGTGCGTGTGGGGAGTGTTGCAGTAAAAATGCCACTGTAGTGCCGCCGCCACTGTGGGCTAAGCCCCGAATGTTTTCAGGTCCAGGCGACGCCCCTGCCTGAGACACAGTTTCGTGAGAAAAAAAACGGGGGAAAAAAAGCCCCTTAACAGGTTAAATGGGAATTGAATCAGTGTTCCCAAAGCCCCGGTGTTCTGCAGTTTGTGTGGGCCTACTGTACTGTTGCACAGTTTATGCTGGAGAAACTATGTCCAGGACAAGGTGTTTGGAAGTTTTGGAAGATTCATAGCTAACCACACTGAAGTTATGGAGGTATTGATCAGTCTTCTCATATTTTTAAGCCTCAAATTGTCCTTCTCCCCCCCCCCCCCCCCCCCCCCCTCCCCCCCTCTAACATCACCAGAAGTCATGATTTAAGGGGTCTTTTCTCAAAACAAATTACCGGGGGAGCATCCCCCCGGACCCCTCTAGTATTGTTTGATCACCATTTCCATAGCCCCACCTAAAATATTTCCCACCAGCCGCCACTGCTATTAATACTAAAAACACATGTATACAAAGTATTATTAATAGATTTACGATTCGAAAATTATAAAAGCAGAGTAGACATGTGGAGATTATCCGGCTGAACAAAACGTGATCCGTCTTTTAAATGTGTGTCAACCACAGACCTTATTTCGAGCTGTTTTCCAAAACTCTATGGAGAAATTGCAGTGCGTGTTCTAGCTAGCTAGCTAGCTAGCTAGCAGGCTAGCTCAGGCGAGTTCATTTGTTATATTTAGGTAATACCCTATGTTATTTAGTTACTATACCCCTCAGAAAGGTGCCAGAAGCAACATTGGCGCCGATTAGATTATTATTATTATTATTATTCGTGGCTAAGTTTATTTCCTATAACTATGTGTTACCCATGCTCTTACCTTGATTCTGAAGAACTGCGACTCTCTCATCCAGGTTTGGTCACGTAAAGTGCAAAGGTATGCCGTCTTTACGACGGTACCTGAGGATTGTGGGTAATGTAATCGCAAAGCGGACAGAAGTCGTCACAACAATAGCTGGGGATTGTGGGTAGTGTAGTGTCTTCGGCCATCCAAAACTCAAAAGTCGTCACAACAATAGCTGGGGATTGTGGGTAGTGTAGTCTCTTTGGCGCTCCACATTTCAGAGAAAACAAGTTGTCTCAGAATTGTAGGGGAAAAACACAAAAGCATTGTACACAATTTAAACCTATCAATGTCGTTTAATTAACAAAGGTAATCTGGTGTTTTTGAGTGGATGAGTAATGGAGATATCACTGTCAAATCAATCGACAGTAAGGAGAATACTTACTTCCGGGTGTACAATTCTCCGTTATCCAATGGGAATGGACGCTCACATTGCCTTTAACAGCTGCCGACACAAACGAATGCCGTGCTTCCCTAAGCGTCAAATACCGCCGCCGATGGGAATACATTGCAATCAGTTGAAAGCTCTTTGCATCCGTTTATGACGCTGATGGAGACTCGGCGCGTCACAACTGGACGCCACGGAATTCTGACCAAGCGTCGCTCCTGGACGCGTTGGGAGTGAGAGTGTGTTGTCCTGTTATGCAGTCTGCTACTAAAGATAGGGATGCTTCACTTCTCATATTTCTAGCTTCCTGTTATGCAGACTGCTATTAAAGAGGAACCAGTGTAATTAAGCACACATATATTCTTAAGCAAACTCATAGCTGAACACTGTGTACACAGGTTACTTTAGCTTATGGCCTCAGCGTTTGAACTTTTAAAAGGTGCTAGAGTTTTTTCAAAACTAGACCTGCGTAACGCTTACCACTTGGTAAGGATACGGGAGGGGGACGAGTGGAAGACAGGTTTTAACACTCCAAGCGGACATTATGAATATTTGGTAATGCCTTTTGGTCTAACAAACACACCTGCAGTTTTTTCAGGCTCTCATAAATGATGTGTTGAGGGAGTTTTTGAATCATTTTGTTTTTGTCTATCTTGATGATATTTTGATTTTTTCCCGTGATGAGGATTCACACGTTCCGCATGTTCGCCAAGTATTAAAGTTGTTGGACAATCAACTTTATGTAAAGGCTGAAAAATGTGAGTTCCACGTCAGTTCCACTTCATTTCTGGGTTTCATCCTGGGTCCAGACCAGATAATGATGGATCCTGCTAAAGTGAGCGCTGTGGCTGATTGGCCCACACCCTCTTCCAGGAAAAAAGTCCAACAGTTCCTTGGATTTGCAAACTTCTACAGGAAGTTTGTTAGGAATTTTAGTTCTATTGCCACACCTATGCATGTACTCACCTCTCCTTCTGTTCAGTTTGTGTGGACTCCACAGGCAGACCAAGCTTTCCAGAAGTTAAAAAAGGTGTTCACAACAGCTCCAATACTTACCATCCCGGATCCTCAACGGCAGTTCACCGTGGAGGTGGATGCCTCCAACAAGGGCATCGGGGCGGTCCTCTCACAGAGGACAGAGAAAGACAGTAAGCTCCATCCGTGTGCCTACCTTTCACGTAAATTGTCTGCTGCTGAAAGAAACTATGATGTAGGCAATAGAGAGTTATTAGCCGTGAAGGTAGCGCTGGATGAGTGGAGGCACTGGCTAGAAGGGGCAGAACAGCCATTTATTGTGTGAACAGACCACACAAATTTGGAGTACATACGCAAGGCTAAGAGGTTAAACTCCAGACAGGCACGATGGACCTTATTTTTCAATAGGTTTAACTTCACTCTCTCCTACCGTCCTGGCTCACAGAACACCAAACCAGACGCGTTATCCAGGCTTTTTGACCCAGAGGCCCTTTCCAAGGAGACCGAATCCATTCTACCACCCACTCGGGTAATAGGAGGGGTGACATGGCCAATTGAGGCTAAGGTAAATCGAGCATTAGAGGGAAAAACTGTACCCAGCGGTGGCCCTCCTAACCGTCTCTTTGTTCCCCCATCTGTCCGCTCTGACGTGATTCAATGGGCTCACACGTCTGTACTAACATGTCATCCAGGTATCAAAAGAACTATGTACATGATAAAACAAAGGTTTTGGTGGCCTAAAATGGAGAAGGAGGTAACTGAGTATGTGGCAGCCTGCA